TCTCTCTCTCTCTCTCTCTCTCTCTCTCTCTCTCTCTCTCTCTCTCTCTCTCTCTCTCTCTTTCTCTCTCTCTTTCGGCATCGAACAAAAACTCGCAGCCCTTTTCATCGAAATGAAATATCTTCGTGTGCCGCGTCGGCCGAATACCGATGCAATTAATCGCGTTGATGCAGATTAATCCCCTGTAATTTGGTAAACATCGTGGAAGCGACGCAGACTTTCTTCGACCCGCCATTAACCGGATAACGCGAAATCGTCCCCTTCCCTTGCTTCTTCCTCCCTCATCAGAAACAATGTTTCTGTATAGCGAGAGCGACCATAAATCTCGACCGCGTCTTTCGTTCGCGGAAGTTTTCGCGTCTTATATTTGTCGGGTTTCGAAGGCCTGGTGGTGCGGCCCGCTCGATATTTTGTTATGCCATTAATAACCACTGTCTCGCTCCTCGGTAACAGGCTTTCTCAATTAATCTACGTTACGAGTGTGCCGAATGGCGAGGGGGAATGTAAAAGCTCGAAAATTAATATTAATGCACGAAGCAGAGAAATCCATGCCGTTCGTAGAACGGGTAGAATCGATATTTTACATGGCGATGTCAATAGCTAATGAAAACGTCGAATAATCCGATACCAGTATGTAGGTATTCCTTGTATTGTTTCGCACCGCGGCAAACCTTTGTGCTGCGTCCAATGAAATTGTTTCACCGACAATTTGCGTTATGCCAGTAAATTGCTTCTACGGATGGTTATGCAACGAAAATTGTCGAAAAGTGAACTTGTTTGTCGCCTCGTTTAAATTCGTCCGCGTCGTGCGATCGTAGTTCGATTCTTCGATTAATCCGTCGTATATATTGGGAATGTTTTCTTTTTACACGATTTGTTTCTGACACGGCGTGTTCAAACAACGAAATTGTTGACTCACTAAAAGCAACATGTGAGACGGCAGAAAATCGTCACTGTGTCGACGTTACGCGTTGATGGGAAAACGAGAAAATATCTTTTTCTTCCTCGAGAATCGAGTTATGTGAATCACAGTAGGTTTTCACTCGCACGAGAGAGAAAAGTTACATTGCAAATTTTAATGTGGTGTCCGCTCGAATGAATGACTATAAAAACTGCCGGCCGCAGAAGGTCCGGTAAAACGGATCGCTTTTTTACGTGTCACTGCTTTACCTTGGATTCACGATTCGCTTTAGCAAAGCGTGCACGTTACTTGCACCTTGTACAAGTGCGGGGTTCGCGTGAACGAAAACGAATTGTTACCATAGCAAGTAATCTTCAGCGATTGTCGGATAACTCATAAATCACAATTCATTTATTATGATTCTTACACTCGCTTCAATTTTCAAACAATAGACCGTTTCCAAAATTGTAATTCGTAAAGCATTTCATATTCATACCCATCCTCTCATAATTTGGGTTATTTAACGCTTTGCTGCGCGGTGGAATATTATTGAGGCTTCGTTTGATTTACATAGATTGCATATGGCAGTAGTATTAATTAATGCAATGATTAAAAGACCGCTATGAAATAATTCAGATAATATTAATTGCGGCACATGTTATTAAAATATTCACATCGCTCTGATGAGTTTGCAATCGCGCCGATAATGCTTTTGTACGAATATCGTTTTTATATATCGTTGTACATTCTTAATGTCTGATCGTATAATCGTGACGTTTAATTCCGATGATCAGTGCGAATCCTGTACCCATCTGGATAACTTGATCGACTGTAATTCCGCATTAAACGCATCTTTGTC